ACTAGTTGCTAACACCTCCAATCACATAATTCCTCTAGCACCACACCCGTTCTCGTCTACCAAATATAATACGCATACCTCACAAATCGGCCACACTACCGTATTATTCTTACGAAACTTAACATGCACCAAAATTGAAAAAGGGAAATGAGAAAAATCTTAACCTTTAAAATCACCATCAATTTTTGGCTAGTAAATAGGTAAGTAAAGTAAAATATGAGGGAAATATAAATTAAGATTTCAAAAGTAGGAGAAAAGTTAAAGCAATTTTCAGGTCCTCACATTTGAAGTGGAAATATTATGATCAATTGGTGAGTGTTCCAACTATATGTTTCATGTTACTTGATCAAATATGACTTGTTGCTGGAAATTGTTAGGGATTCCGAATTGTTATTTCATAAGCGAGTGTGTACTTTATCGCACTCGAACATTGTAAAATGAATTACATGATGCTGCATGTGGACTTGCATGTACATGTGCATGATTGTAGGCCTGCTGTATGTCTCCTTGCAGTGGCTGAGCTGGGCTCTTTGCTGGTACCCTTATTCGAGACGTCGGGTAAGCTAGACAGTCTTGAGTTGCTCATGCATATGCGTAAATGTAAGCTAGTAACGGTTGAACTGGGCCCTTCATTGGAACTCTTACTTGAGACCAGCTTTAGAGCAGTCGAGTAAGCTGTAAGAATTTTCTAACCTGTTTACTCATGACTTGAACTCGTGACATGCTTGATACAGAGCGGTAGGTGACAGCTAATGGCTCCAATCATTACTTGAGTGGGCGTTGGGTGACAGCCAACGACTTCACTCGTGAATACTTGAATACTTGGAGCTTTAAACTCAGATCATGAATACTTGAATATTTGGGGCTGTAAGCCCAACCCATGGCTAGTTGATCGAATCGAATCGGCAAGGGTTTGGTTGAGGAGATTGACGAATCTTGAATACTTGATTGGCGTTCGGGCCCGGTAAGGGGATGATCGGTGGACAGAGATTGGTGTTTGGTGATGATCTACAGACATTATAATTCCATGGTTGACGGAGTGTCAACGGATCCCAGACAAGCTGCTGTGAAACCTGCTTCTAAGAGCAGACTATATCCTTGGATATGAATGTGTTATTTACTGTACATTATTGCATGATCTATCTGATTACTTGCTTTACTGCATATTATGTTATGAACTATCTGGACATGACCTTCTTCTTGAAATTATGTGAATTGTATCATGCCTGCTAGTTTACTTGCATGTTTTCCTGGAACCTCACTAGGTGAAAACTCATTCCATTAATTTGTTTTCCTTACAGGGGTGAGAATGTGAGAGTGGAAGTTGGAGAAGGCATAGTCTTAGTTGCTCGATTGTAGATAATTTACTCTTGGGACTGGCTAGCTCGAGTGGTGAATTATCTCGGATTCTTGTACCCGAGTACGCGGGAGTTGAGGGCAATACTAAGGACTTGCGATCTTTATTGTGGAGAGCAGGAATGGGCTAATGTTTGGTGAGAGCAAGTGCAAAGGGGTCTATGGACGTCTAGTTCGGATAGTAATAGAAGTGAGAGATCGGACGGGGGAAAATTTTAATCGAGTGTGGAACGGCATGTCACGATTTCTTCTTGTTTTGCCCCTGTATTGTTACTGTATGTATTTGGCTTGTGGCATTTCAATACTTACATACTAAATCACCTTTTGGGAAAAAAAAAATTTCACATTTTCTAAGAGGGAGAGAGTATGAGAACCCGAAAATTTTCGCATTTTCTAAGCATTATTTTATTCCTTGCCTACATTTTTATATTGCCCTTTTTAAATATTAAATATTCTATGCATTTTATAAGTAAGTACAGTTTTAAATCATTTTCCTAGTATAAGTTAGTGTACGTTAAATTTGAAGTGCATTATAGACGTGGGACCCGCTAGTGCGATAACATTTTGGTGACTAAGTGATTTTTGTGTAAAGCGATATTATTTTATAAGGTGCTAGGAGATGATAAGAGGTTAGCTAGATAGACTAACCATTGGGAGAAGGAAGATAAGTTTAAAACATTCAAGGTGCCACATGTCGCGAACCGATTGGAAGTTGGACTTTGACCTAATTCTTACCTTTACTAAATATCAAATTTTGACCAATTTCTTTCCATTTTTCCTTGTTCTTGGCCGGCCCTCTAGAGAGAAAAAACAAGAGAGACTACTTCAATTTCTAACTTCCAACCTTGCTTGAATCTTGAGTTCTAGCCAACCAAATTGGAAACTACTCCATACAAATGCTCACTAAGGAGGTTTAAAGGTTTTGGTGGAGTTATTTTGGAGGAAGAAGGTCTAAGCTACCATTTTTCCTTGTGGTCATAAGGTATATTGTTAAGAAAATCCTTCTTTACTTCTAGTAATTGCATATTAGTGGTTTAGAAATGAGAAATATGTAGTTTTATGAGGAATATTGTGATTTGAAGTAATGATTGAGGAATTTTTAGTTTTCTTAGAGAATTTTCTGCCCTCATGTGATGATTGATGGTTGGCCTTGATTTACTAGCTTTGATATGTGAAAATTCTAGTGATTTAGTATTAGTTTCATTTGCCTAAAGAAATTTTTCAGCTTATGTGCACAATTCCAGCTTTAAGTTTTTGTATTACCCTGTTCTGACCAGTTTCATTCGGCCATGATGGAGGCCGAATTGGGCTTAGGTTAAAACATGAAGGTTGTAGAAAATAATGTTTTAGAACTGCCTATAAAATTTCAGCTCAATCGGAGACTGTAGCTTGTGAAATGACCGAAATACCCTGAACTGCCCACAAGCCTTGTTTCACGGACAGTTTTCTGTTTTCTCTGAGATTTCGATTTTTGACCATGAAAATGCATGATTTGGCTTTGGAGGTCTTCATAAGGAATGTAGGTAGATGTCTTGGCTTCGAAACACCATAAGATTCGTTTCAATCCGATAAGTGTAGCTTCAGTTGTGGTTGTTATGCCGAAAGGTGTGTTTTATCTATGATTTGTTTGTGAAATTGTGGTTGGTTTGAGATGAAATTTGGTGTCTGATTGTAGGGTGGAAAGTGAAGAAATTAAGGGGAAATATTGTCCATTTATTTTCTTGTAATTTGAGTGAGTAAAATTGATATTGGAAATGTGATTTTTGTGATGCATTGGACTTACTTTTCTTAGACATACTTAGGTCCACTCTAGTGGTGTTAGATGAGTTAAAGTTTACTTGAACTTATACATTTTCACATGGTGAATGCGACGACTGTTTTAAACATGATACTTAGTTGCAAATGTCTAGTTTTGAACTTCAAATGTTTACTCATTTCCTTTCCAAAGCAAAGAAAAGTTGCATAGGGTTTCTCAGCCGCAAAACCTAATTTTATCAAGCGAGGCTTTGGGTGTGAATTTAGGGTTTGTTTATCTTTCTTTTCATATGATTTTACTCAAAACACTTGTTATACGTTGTTTCTTTGCATATGTGTTAGTTTCGAGCCAAACAAATAGCTTTACGAAAAATTGAACAAAACTATTTTTCATGTCCGGCCAGGTTCTGGCCAGATTCTGATGTAGCACTGTTTCATTTGTTTTCCGATGGAATTTTCTAAAAACCTTTTGAGTATAGTTTTGTGTTGGGTTTGGGAACCTCTTAGTTACTCATGCTCTTTGATCCAAATGTACTCTTTTCACTTCAAAAATCATATTTATACATTGTACTAGTAGGTATTCGAATTTTCTTTGATTCACCTAAAATTTTGATGGGTGAAGCATAATGTGTTTTCTTGGTTACTCTTAGGGTTTCTTGGTGATTGAGGGTATTATCCGGAAGAAAACTTTGAACATTACTTTGCTTAAATAGGCGAGTGTTCTTTGTACGTTATGTTTTCTATGACTATGTGGATTGCTGTGACTATGTGACTATTGGTGAATATTTGATTAAATGTTAAATGTTTTCAATGATTTCTAAAAATGAATTTTACTAGGCGAGTGTGTACTTTACCGCACTCGACCTAAATGAATGTGGAATTTACAATGATTAAATGATTAAATGCTACTTTTGCATGAATGTAAGCCGTTTAGCTGAACTGGGCCATTGCCCTTCGTTGCCGGTCGACTCGAGCCAGAAGCGGACTCGGTCGGGCGATTGGTGATCCTGGGTTAATGTTTGGTATACTCGAGCATGACCACGAAAATTGGTGGAGACTGGCTAATGTCCAGTAGGGGGAAAATGAAATGAATGAATGAATGGCAAGAACAATGGAGGGGTTTTCACTTACAAATATAATTTTTAATGACTGAAGGAATAAGGAAATGATTGGTGGAATGAATGAACGAAGGGCTCCACGTGAGCATGTACCCTTTTAATGAGTGTGTTATCATTGTTTTATATTGTAAATGTTTTCTGGATTACTTGTTATTACATGATTAATGTCCTTGTCAATTACTTGACTATGTGTATGGAACCTCACTGGGCTTTTAGCTCATTCCGTTAGTTTTGTTTTCCTTACAGGGGATGCGAGCGAGGGCGTGAGATTTGTGCAGACTAACCTGGACTAGTTTTTGAAATTTTATTTTTTTATTGTTCTCGCGCTAGCGCTTGAATAGGGTTGAATGTATTGGGCACGAAGCACTTTTGTTATATTTGGGCCTATATTACTGGTTGAGATAGAAATGAATGTAAGTATATGTGCTAGTTTGGAAATGGTTAGTTCTCTTATCCTCGAGGTTATATCTTATTTTGCTTGAAAAGATCGAACGAGTCCTGGCGAGAGTTGGGCAGACGGTCCGTCGAATCCTTTGGTTCGCCTTAGGGGGAAATGGGGCTGTCACAGAGAGTTGGGCAGGCGATCTGCCAAAGGGGGAAGTGGGATCGTCACAGTTTGAAACGTCAAGGGAGGTTTATGAAATTATCCCTTTTGCTTATTCTTATTTGTGACGTGTGTAAACAAGATTTACAATTTAATGCAATTATGTATTAATTTATTTCTCCATGGAATACCATCATGTATGTATTAATTCATTTCCAACACAAATACCAAATATTATTCTAAACTTTATTGAGATTGGGCAAGAAGATACAACTTACAACCCTTGTCATCGCTAACGCAAAATTGTCAAAAGAAAAAGAACGAGTTCTCAAAAGCTAGAGCTAGATAGATAGTAAAAGAAAAAGAGAGTAAAAAGAAAGAAGAAAAAGTTCTCAAAAGCTAGAACTAGATAAATAGTAAAAGAAAAAGAGAGTAAATGGAGTAAAATTGATTAGAGGACCAAACTCAAGAAGCTAGGACCCTTAATTCAATTAAGTATGGGGGCTCTGCTCTTCTTCTGGGTACCAGTATCTGTTATAGAACCACATAGAATCAGCTGCAACTGGCATATTATCTTGGTTTCGATGCCAAGTGTAGTATGCATGAGTTCGATTCTTTATTTCAAGAATTGCATGCCCAAAACTTGCTTCACGATATGCTGAGTAACTTGGCTGTGGATCTATGAAACTGCACCAACCAAAGTGTGAAACAATAAGTATTTATGACAATACCGATATGGGTTGCGACAGATTTTGTGAAAAAAACTGAATAATTGGAATCAAATGAAATTTCTCTTGGATCGATTTAAGCTTTAACTTATTAAAAAACTGAGTTTTTTTTTCTTTTTTCTTTTTTAATCAGTCCCAAATCAGGTGAAATAATCAAACGAAAACACTCAGTCAGAATGGTAATGAATGCATTCAAAGGGTGGAATTTTGTTAGAAAGATGAGAAAAATTAGAAAGCCTGAAAAGATCCTCTTACTTGTTAGCAATGCCTTCAATATTACCACCATCCCCAATGGTTATGTAGACCGGAGCAGAAGCATCCTTAATAGGAGTGCTCAATCCATCGGTAATGTTGTACCTCACATTTGATATTCGCTCCTGTTGTGCATGACCAGCAACAAAAAAGAAAAGTCACTTATTGTCAAAATCTGCATTTCGACCTTCTTTTATTTTATTAATTAATTAAATTTTTTTTATTTTGGAGGGGGGTTTGCCTCATTACAGAGGGATATTGACTATGTTTGACTTGCTACTCTTTTTCTTTTTTAATAACATTACAATTAATCCAAAGTGTTAGTCCCGCAAGTATGGATTAATAGAAACACATTACAAAACATTGATATTACAACTATACACTTCAATAAGTGCTAGTCGTATAATTAGTATGGATTAGAGAGCAGTTAACAGAAAAACAGTAGATCGAGAGAATTCGAAAATAAAAAAATCTTGGTACTTTTATACAAACTTCTGAATTGCTCAGTTGAGTTGGCATTTGACAGAACAAAGATTTCTACTAAATTACCAGGAATCTAAAAACTGATATAACTGTTAACATATTTGGCATTTAGTGTATATCCTTGATGCACAGTTTCTTTAAACTTCAGTTTTAGCAATTTAACTTATGGAGTAGATAAAAAAATGGACTGATTTTCTTTTGAAAATACAATGATCGACGGATTAATCATTCAAAATTGGAAGCTCCTACTTACCGAGCGTTCATAACAGTGAACATGTCCTGCAAACACGATGTCAACCTTGTTTTCCACAAACCAGGATTCGAACATTACTCTCATGCTTTCTCCTTCCATGTAATGGTAGTTGTTGCTGTTATACCATGGAGAATGAAGCAGAACAATCAGCCACGGAGTCTCTTTCCTGTTAACCTTTGGGAACTCCTTCTGAAGCCAATCGTATTGTGGAGTGTATTTACCTAGTTAAAACCAATGACAAACCTCAGTCCTTTTTCTTGTTACAGTGAACTTTACTTCTCAATATGGTGACAATATATGAGGAAGCCAATTGGGTACGTTAAGGAAGGAAAATAAAGTGACTAAATTATTGGTAAAAATCACCTATGGTCTTGTATAACTAGTAATTTTCCCAACGTTCACATTATGAGTTTTTTCCTTTTTTTTTCACACAAGCGAGTTTTGATAAGTGACACATAATCAATATTCAAATTTAATTTTTCTAATTTTTTTTGGTATATGTGTCACCCATCCAGAATAAGAAGTAGACTTACCATAAGTTTTTTTTTTTTTTTTGGGCAGTTTGTATATTGAGGAAGTATACTTACCATAGGCAGAATAAGAAGAAAGGACAATTATGTAAGTTGATGCTCGTTTGATGGAGTACCAAAGGGGAGATGAACTCTTGGATGCTTTGTATGGTACTTCATATCTATGCAAATATGGCTTGAAAGGAGTGGTTTCACCCTAAAAGGAAGAAGAACATGTACAAATCAGCATATTAAGTTTTGAAGCTGAATAAACACAATATGTAAGAGAATCTAATATCGCTATGTGACATTTCTTAGGGGCCTTTGCTTAAGATCATGATATTATCTTGAAGGGCACCCCCCCCCCCTCCCCAAAAAAAAAAACTGTGCAGAAAGGTCTTACAATTTCAGGGGCATAGTCAATTTCATGATTCCCTGCAGTCCAAATCCATGGTTGGTATGCTGTACTCTTCTCAACAAAACGACCCCATGTATCCCACCTTCTGTTATCATGCAATGGATGGTCATCAGCATATGAAAGATCACCAACCATCAACATAGCTTGGCCTTTTGGGTTTGCAATATAATGCTCTAAAGTTTGATTTGAGTCAACTGTTTGTCCCAAATCCCCTACACATCAAAAAAAAAACACATTTTGTCATAATACATAAAGAAAAATCACACACGCACAAAGAGATGCACTTCCACAGGAACTCACCTATGACACCAAAGGTATAAGGAACATCAGGTCCTACTTTGGGTGGAGTAGTGAAGGAGAATCTCCTAACGACCGAGTGCAGTCCAAGTTGATATATGTACTTTGTATCATGCTGTAAAAAGGAACAAAAAATGGAATTAGTGTTATTTTCACATGAATCTGAAGCTGAGAAGAAAATTATGAAATCCAAATTTAAACAAAAAGTTACAAATTTAGTTTGTTACTTTTCCAAAAGAACACTCCAAGATATCGTATCCAAGAAAACATTCATGATAAATATATAATGCAAATCTATAATACAAGGAATTTTTAATTTTACTTATTGATTTGGATCTTAAAGTACATATTGACAAAAATCATAAACCATATTGAACTTGATTTTAAAAAAAAAAAAGAAAGAAAAGAAAGAGTATAGTATTGAGCATATATAATTTTCTTCCTTGTCCTAGATTTTAACTAATTTAATTGGAGCGTCTAATTAAACACCGAGAATAGAAAAAAGCACACCTTCAATCCTTTTATGGTGGCATGGTGGATGTGCCCAGAAGTGTAATTATAATATTTATAAGCAGTGCTTCTTGAGTGAACTTTGTGCTTCGTTGGATCGGTGCCCTCTGCTTCCCAATAAATCACGGAGCCATGATGTTCTAAAGGTGTCACCCATGAGATGATCATACTTCTTCCTTCATGATCTCCTTGAGTTATATGAACCTAGATTACCCAAAAGACACATTTCAGTTAGAAAAGAACAACAGTAAAAAGGATGTAAATACAAGTGTTAAGCTATAGCAATAATCACAAATATTATGCCAAAATCTATGCTTAGATAATAAACAAGTAATTTTTCGACCAAAATCTCAAAAATTAAGTTCGACTTAGTTGTGGGCCAATTAAAGAAGGACAAAAAACCTTAGCGGCCATTAAACTATTGGCGGGATCATGTTTTGGCCATCGAACTAATTTTTGTCAATAATTGGCCACTAAATAATTTAATCCGTTAACCTGTGACTATTTCGTCGTTAATTGCTCTTAAGTTCTCAAATTAGAATTACACATAGCAATGTCCGGGGCAATTTTGTCCAGAACATGATAGTGGTAAGACTTACAGGGTTCAAGGATTGGCTTTTCTTGGATTTTCTTCTCTTGGATTTTCTTCTTCTTGTTGTGTACACAAGAACAGAGCTTCGGTGTTCTCTATAGAGTGAAGAAGGCCTTAGGTCTTTTGGAAGCAGAGGACTGGTACTCAAAGTGCCCATATCTTCTAATTCCAGGCAACAGCTAGTGCCGTATGGGAGAGAAATAGAGAAAGTCGGAGTCTTGAACTCTTGAGCTTGGACTCCCTTCTCAAAATTAAATCTCCAATATTTCAGGACACCCTCCCAAACAATATATCAAATATCTCATGTACATCAGATTAGTTATAAGTGGCGAGAATCTTTTTTAGGGAATTTTGGGGCATTTTGGTTTGCTTTGCTTCGATGCTTCACCTTTTGCAGCTTGAAAGCATTAGATATCAACTTTTCTTCGAAGCAAGTAGGCAAGCGTATCTTTCATTTGCTTAGGCGGGAGCGGAATTTGGAGGACGTATCCTCCGGCTGCAGCAACCGGCAGTCCTCTGGTTGAACGGCGAGTTATGGTGGAAGGGTGTGAAGTAGTTTTGGATTCATCTTCTTGGACCATCACGGTGGCCTTCCGGCGGGTGGTGGCGGTTCCTCTGGCGGCGGTGCAAGGAACACTGAGGGATGCAACTTGGGGTTCGGCCGGTGACTCGGTAGAAGATGCTGAAGGTCCAGCAACTCTTTATTGTTCCGAAATTAGCCGTATTGGACTTTTAGGGTCAGTAAGCTCACTGAACAAAATTGCCCCCGGACATTGCCACGTGTAATGCTAATTTGGGAACTTAAGAGCAATTAACGATGAAATGGTCACGGGTTAACAGATTAAATTGTTTAGTGGCCAATTATTGACAAAAAATAGTTCGATGGCCAAAACATGATCTCGCCAATAATTTAATAGCCGCTGAGGTTTTTTGCCCATTAAAGAATAATTTTAAATGGAGACAGCTAATGGTTTACCTGCTCGGGTGCATTGTGTCCAGCAGGTGGAGGAAATAGGTCAAGCGGCATATCCACTGATGGTTCAGGTTTTCTCACATAATTACTCGTCACACCTCCATTTGAAAACTCAACAATTTGCAGTAGCACAAAGAAGATCGTAAGGAACCACATGGTGTGCATAGATAGCTAGCTTTCTGTAAACCATTTCATGAATGTTTCTTGATTAGTGAATAAGAATCATAGTGAAAAAACTGCTAAGTAAATCATAACTCATAGTAGTACGTACAACTCAATTTCATCAGAACGATAATTCTACTACTAGTCAATGAAATAAATGAAGAACATATTTTTCCATCATGACTCACTGTTTCATCTTACCTTGGTTTGAAGTACTAGAGAAGTGACCTTGGCAATTTTAGTTGTTAAGATCACGAAAAAGTAAGAATGAGTGGACAAATAGGAAGAGTTTTCGTTTCTTGCTTCACTTTTTTGTTTGAATATATACACTATCTCTAGCAAGCATGTAGGAGAATATTCACGATATTCCTATCCAAATGGTATATTTCTCGGAAAGGTTGTTGATATGTTCAAGATTCCTTTCAAATGTATCTTGATTAGTTGATTTTTTGGTTTTCTCTATCTTTTTTCACTGGGTATCGAATGATGATTGTATAATGATGATTATCAGCTAACTGATTCTTGAGTTTGAATAGGTGATAGGGTTCTATTAAGGATAGGCTTCCTAATTTTATGTGTTCGGTTAATCTTTAGTTTAGTAGTTACTGCACACTCAATGCGCGTGCATATTAAAAACATTTAGGCTCAACTGTATATTGTCCCTTTCAATTTACATCCGGTATTGCGAAATAGTGAGAGTATCCCCCAAAGAGTAACTCTTGTTTGGTGTAAACTAAATTCTGTCTTTTTTTCAGTTTTGAAAAGACAATTACATAATCAAAATTTTTTAGCCTTCGACGATTTAAGCATTTTGACGGCATTCAGGGTTATACTCTGTGTTGCATTGAACATTTTTTGCATCTCTGGAGAGTGGAGGTGGAGGTTGAGATTCTCTGTAAAATTTCATGCGATTTACCTCATGAAATTTTGATTCTAGCTTTTGAGAATAAAAAATTTGCTGTGAGCATTGACTCGTCTCTGATCCTTGAATGAAATTATTACTTTGCAGGTTGTGGACGGAGAAAGAGGAAATGAGTACTGTAAACAGATGTTGTCTTTGTATAAAGCAAATAGAAGGAAATTTTGACAGCATTTTCTTCATTAGGAAGATTTCCGACGAATAATATTGGGAGATCACATAAGCTCGTCTTGGATGTTCTTCATGGTTGCAATGTGCCTGTCAGTTAGTCTTTTGATTCTTTCAGACTCCTTGAATTTAAATATCTGAATTTTTAGTCGCTTTCAGAAAAAGCATATGTGTTTTCAGCTTTTGAGGAATGTGCATTGTTGAACAATTGACTCATCTAAAACTCAAGCAGCTATACGAGACAGTATTCATCAAACCATTAACCTAACGTGAAGGTTTTGTACCTAAATTTTGATTGTCTCTTTCAGCTTATTAATATTTTTTTCGATACTCAGATTCAGTAATCCGATCCTAAATATTATAGATTTATTTAAGAAAAGGATGATCCTCGTGTTTATAGAAAAATAGAACTTTTAATATACCGATGGCAAACTTGAAACTCAAAAGATTTTTCCTGAAAAAAAATGATCATCCCTAACTCCTTGCATACTTAGGAATGAAATGGAAGATCAGAGAATACTACAGTCCACTCAGGGATTCCATTTTGGCTTTCTGCTCCAGTCTAGTGCTTTTCTAAGTCAAAGAGTGGAACAGAATTAGATGCCTTCCTGTGGTCTTGGCTAATAGACAGCATCTGTAACATTAGAATATGTCCTACCATGTTTACCATGTATCACATTTGCTAATTAAAAATCTCCAGATACATAATGATCATGTATCCTGAACCATGATTATTTGCATTTCTCATGATACGAAGATTGTATTCTTCACAATCTTTTCTAGAAAACCACCAACTAAGGCCATCCCATCCATCCTACTACAATATTGTTTGCCAACGAAATGCAACTCCGAAGTTGGTTAACTGATGTTTCAGTCACCTGCCAACATTTACATTTTTTTCTTGTCTGGATTTCATATTTCCACCCCATGCCTATTTTCATCAGATGATTTTGCAAAATATGCTGTACCTAAAAAATAAGTCCTGCCAACTCGTGAACTTCTGAGACCTATCTATTCAGCCACATTGACAGCTAAATATAATGAGTTCTGCAATATTGTTAGGTTGCCCATCATTAGACCTTTTACACTTCCAGACAGTTATAATTTCCTCTATTTATAGAATCTTGACAAGGCTCAGGTCTGTTAAATTTGCTGCAAATGCGCAGAATACTTAGGTTCTGTTAGACATGATATGCAGATTTCGAAAATTGAGGGACATGAAGCTGATGATGTTGTCGCCACCCTGGTTGGACAAGTTGTTTCAAGAGGATACCGAGCTGTTATATCAAGAAAATAGATAGTCATTTTATACCCTAAACCACATACACTTGTGATCTGCAGTCTGATCTAAGTCTGAGTGAGTTTTTTTTTTTCTTCTCTTGTAAATGCTCTTCCATAGGTTTCGTATTGCTAGATCTTAAATATCGCCTCTTACAGGTTGATTCTCACATCATGTCTTACTCTGGGAATAGGCGCAGATTGTATCATTCAAACAAGTTTCAAATCAAAGTCATAACTTTTTTTTTTGGGTGCAATAAGCTTCTGTACTTAAATGCAATTAAGGATGAAATATATGCACTGCAAGAGTCTCATTTTTACCTTCAACTAGCTCAAATATAACTAATTCCGAACCCCTTTTCTTAATCAATCAGTAATCTATACACTGAAATGATTCCTGAACCATTTTTTTCAAATGCAGTATGTATGCTTTTTTAATCTGTCCTATAATTGATAGTGTATACATATTAATCTGCTTTTTGCTCTGAATCTAGTGCTAACTCTGCATATTGTAGCTCTACATCCGCCGTTGTATTATCATGAGTTGAGTCTCCTCCACAAACAGTACTTCGGTGATCCAGGATATGCCGGTCATTACTTGACCATGGAAAATGTTATTTCTGGAAGAGACTCAACTATCTAATTGTTCTATTTCTCAGCCCAAAGCATGAAGATTTGTTCTTTGACATGCAATGCTTCATCCTCTTTTTACTCTTTTTGTTTTTTTAACTTGTAATTACCTAAACCCGCTGTTGCACAGGATGCTTCTTGGGTGATGAAGTTGATGGTATTTCTGGAATTCAATATTTTGTTCCAGGTTTTGGTCAAAAGGCTTATTGATTTTTTGGGTATAGACTACAAAACAACACCTTAGTAAGTGTTGCAAAAAAAAAAAAAAAAAAAAAAAGGCTTGCAAGGAAACTCATATTGAAGGTTGGAAAATAACCTTATATTTTTCATTTATGAGCTTACCATTTATAGTGTTTACATGAAATAAACTGATATAATTTCTAGCTAACAAATCTCCATAACTACTCGCATGATTTTCTGTTAACAAATATCATAACAACAACATTTATTCACCAATTAACTACATTTATTCAACAATTAAGTAACTTTTTCTAGTACCAAATGAATCTAGAAAAATTTGCAAAAGTTGGTATATCTCAACACTCCTCCTTGATACTTTTGCTACAGATATCATTGAATTGCCTGCTCAGATCTTTAGACTTTGTTTTGGACAAGACTTTTGTAAGAATCTCTGCAACTAATGATTAGCCTTGCAATGAACTTCTTCTTTTGGCTTTTTATGCAAGCTAAAGATTAGTCTTGGAACAAATCACTTCTTTTGATTTCTTGCGCCAAACCTGAAATAAAAGATGATTATTTTGATGTATCCAAATAACCTTCTCATAGATTCAAAGTGAAACACTTCTCATAGGTTCGAAGTGGAACACTCTTCTATGATATTTAAACCTATACATAAAATATGAAATTTGCATAGTTCTTTATAAATTTTGTCACATTATCAAAATCTATATATCCAAAAATAGCAAAATTATACTCTTGATAAACATCAGGAATAAATTTGATACCTTCTGACTTATCAATAATCTCCTTCTGAATTCTTTCAAGATTTAAATTCTTGATTTCATGATGTTTCATTTTATAATTGTCAAAATCCGACCAATTCATAGTAAATCATTTCTTTTCATTTTAATTGAGAATAGTTTATTCTCGATAAAATCATAAGCCATTATCCTTGTGAAAATAGCATTGAAAAATGAACGTGAACGGTGGTGTTTTGGATCTTTGTTTAACTGCAACTCTGTGATTTCTAATTTGTGTATCCATCAATTTTTCAAATAGTGGTAGAACAAAATTTATCTCTACCATATCTCATAAATCATTGACTGCAAAATAAGTCCAAAATTTACTCGTTTAGTAAGAAATAGCGAATACGCGTTTGGAGACAACATTCGATCTGAGAGTACAGTGACCTTGGAGATTTTAGGACTCATGCGTTAGTCTTAAAATAGTTATTTTTATGATTAATTACCCTAGCATCAGTTACTTATATTATCGTTACAAGAATTACTTTTAAGTTTC